GGAAATAGTTATTATGGTAGATAGGAACTTGCATGACCTCTACTGGGTTATCACTTCATAACCTTGTAAGTCAGTATTGCTATCACTGTAGTCCTTTTTGAAAGTGAATAATTAAATGTTTGTGATTGTGCAAGTTGTTACGATAGAACAGAAATTCTCATTTTCCTTTCCTCTCCTGTTTTCTGTAAAATAACAAAATTGCAAAATGGAATATAAATGCTAAGTGGAATCTTTCATTCTTTTATTTTCATTGTAAGAATTCAGTGAGGTTAAGGATGAAATCTTGGTCTCATTTACTCATTTACTTCAGTATTTCACCCTAAGCATTTTCTTGAAGAAGTATATACCTGTAGGCCACTTATGGACTATATAATCAGTGGGTATTCTTCCAAGCTCATATATGATTTCATATGTGAAATGTGGGTGGGGCTTGTTATTTTACTAAAGCAGTGCTTCAAAAATGACGTAAGTATTGTGCAGCACTGATTGCTGAAGCTATGATGTCATACCCCAATAGATCACCTGTCAGAGACATTCTTTTTAGGAATTATGGTGGTGATTCTCACTTATGCAGAGTGCCTGTTAGTGTTAGGTAATTTAGGGCTAAATTCTTACTTAGCCCTTAGCTCTAACAGAGTGGTGGGACTTTAGGGATAAATTCTGGCTTGGTTTTCCAAGGCAGTATGGCTGGGGGAGTAAGTGGCAGCAGAGCTTCAGGGGCTGAGTAGAGGTTCTTGTGCAGGGAATGGGGAGAGGTGGGGAAATTGGGGGTACTGAACTCAGCAGAATTCTTTTGTTGCTGGTCCAAAAATAAACAATATCTGCTAAAGAAGAACTTAGCCCACCATGCCCCCCACACCACTTTCCCATATCACCTTGGGGGTAATGGATGCCACTGGGCATCTTAGCTAGTCTATCTGTCTACCATTCAATGGCATTCTAAGTAATCATTTGTCTTGTCTCTTGCCTGAGTAGGGTGATTCCTGCATCTCTCCCAATGCATCTGGAAAACAAAATATAGCTTTTAGTAAGATTAATTTAGTGTATCCCTGCAACAGGGAGGCCTGCCCCTTTTAGGGCCTGTTGCCAACCTGCATTGTTCCCTCATCAGCCCTAGCTGGAAAAGGGTCAGGTGATGTCAGAGGAGAGCTGCAGGAGGGAGGTTGGCTCCTGTGCCAGGTCCTGAAGCAGAGAGAGTCACAAAGGGAAAGGTCTCTGGGACCCTGCAACCTGGGTTCGTCAGGGGACTAGTTTTCTTTTGTGTTTGAATTAATAAACCATGTCCTGAAGGAAGGCCTTGAAAGAGACTTGGTTGTGGCTCGTGACTAATCTGCAAGCCCTTCCTGGGCTGGGAGAGGCATGCCAGCAGCCTACAATCCCTCTTTCAGTCTACCTCTAGTGAAAATGTATTCCTTAAACCCTTTCGATTATGAAATATGTGCATGCACACAGCTGATCAATTTTTTGGTCAATCACATAAAAATAATTCTAGCTCACCTATAAAAATGCAAGATGGAATCCTTACTAAAAAAGGATTCTATTAATACCTCATTCGATTTTCCATTATGTCTTACCCAAAAGGGATAGACACTGTGGCTATATAGTGGAGAAAATGTCCCACGCTATTAATAAAAGAAAACTGATTTTGCCACATTTTTTTCTCAAAAGATCAAATTGTGTATGTGGAAGACTGAAGAATGCTACCATAAAGAGTCAAGCTATAACACAAAAAATCAAGATCACAACTAAAGTAATTTTTAAGGTTTTGACCAATGATTAGACTGGCCATATTTGATATTATGCAACTGACTGCTGCATAACATCTACTATTGTCTTCTTCATAAACCAGATGTTTTAAGGGCCTTTCATGTAGACTGATAACAGTGCTTATGTAAAAGTAACTGAGTGTTGTAATTGGCAGATTACAAAGAAAGTAATACTTTGGAAAAAGAGCGATGAGAACATGGAAAAACTTGCTTAGTGAGATAGTTATTTAATTAATTAATTAATTAATTAATTATAAATGGCAAAGCAAAAGCACTCCAAAAATAGAGGGCTTAATTAAAGCTATTTGTTACTTTAAAATATGCTTATTCCTACCCTGATTCAGTTTTGTGGGACTCCCCACTGCTACATTCACCTAACTGGGTGCAGGCATAGTTGAAAATAGCAGATGGGGTGGAGGGTGGGCAAATCATTATTCTCTTTGAAACTGTGCTGGTTTAAGTCTTAAGCGTTCTGTCACCCAGTGAGTTCACATTTTTGTTTTTTCATGAGGGAGTGGATGGCTCAGGTCACTGGTTATGATCAGATTGTCATCTCTGAACTGTTGGTTCACATCCAGCCTAGGTTATTAGGAAATTTAAAGCTGATGGCCTACTATGTGAAATGAATTGGTAGGACCTGTCAATTTCCTAGTGGCTAAGCAATCACAATTGGTTCCAATCACTGCCCTCACTGGCAGTTTCAGCAGAGAAGCCAAGGAGTGAATGGGCATGGAGACTGAATTGCCTTCTCATCCCTAAAGATAGATTCTTCAGAACAAGTTTGAGGTCTATTGGTGGAGTAAGGAATTCTTTTGCTGCTGTTGCTTTATTTGTTCTGTGCCTAAATAATGGCTGCTAGTATCCACCCAGAGCCATCAGTCCAGCACCTCTTACAAACTAAATAAATTCCATTTTGAAGCAGAAAAGTTTGCAACCTTCTTTGCCATCAGGATTCACATTTCTCAGCCTTTTGCCAAGGCGCTCCAGCAGAGAGTTAGAAGTGGGGACTGATGTTTCTAATATAACAAATAAAACAAAACACTTTTTTGGTGACAGGGTATAGTATACATGGATAGCCTTCATACATAATCAATTAACAGTAAAAGGCAAAATGAATGTATTGTTTAATTTTTGGTTAACCTTGAGCACAGACCACATTGCAGTGAGTGGCTAATAGGATATGTAAGGACATGTAGCACATTACCGCCCAGGCCTGAAATCTTTGCTCACACAAGTAGTTCTTACTCACATAGGACTGGATTGTGCACAGTTGCACTGCCCCACGAATAGTCCAAAGAACAAATTCTGACTCAGTGTCATAGTTCCTCCCTTTCCCACTTGTTCTGAGGAAAGAATAAGTTACTTCATCCTTCGTCATAAAGCAATTTCCTCCCTGCTGTGCATCCAACCAGCTACTGTGGGCTGCAAGCTGGGAAATTGGAGCCAGGGCTCCTTCCGGGGCTTGCTGCTCTCTGCCCTCTCACTCACCACCCTTGCTCGTCTCCCCACAGCCTGAATCACTATCTGAACAGCTGAGCACAAGAATAAGGAGGGTCTTACTCTCCTGTGGGGCTGAGTAACAGCTGTGACAAACTAGTCCATTAGCACTTCTATTGAAGTCAGTGCCCTTTCCCCCATTTGAGCCTCTTAACAAAAGTATCTACTTGATACATCATGCTGCTTTTTATCAAATAAATTGCAATTGTATCTGAATGACAAGTCTCATATACCCAGTTACAACATGAAATTCTTTTTACCTAAATACTTTAATATCTTTTAGTGAAATAATTGTAATAACCTTGGCAATGACAATAGTTGAACTAACTTTACTTTGGTGAAAGATCAACAATAACAAAGTGCAAGCTAAATGAATTCAAAGCTCTGCTTCAAAATCTGGGGTACAATATGGCCCAGAATTATTAATGTGATTCAATTTAGCCCTAATTCATTTTTAAAACACTCTGTTCCCTGGGAAAGCTTCCTATTAGAAGAAATTTAAATCTTATTAAAGATTTAGACTATATCATTAACATATGTTTTCCTTCCAAGTTTCATGTTGCAGGGAGTTAGTACAGTTGCCTTTTATCTTTAGGCATCAGAGTTCAAATTCTGCCTTGTAGTCACAAGTGAAAATGAGTTTGGTCTCAATCTAGACCCTGACCTTGCAACAGGTGGACCCAGGGGCCATTGTTTTCATTTGGATTCAATTCATAATCCTCATTTGTCTCTACTTCAAAGAGTTTACACTGCATAGAAACTAATGAAAGGTCTACTTTTTTTATGGTTCTTTGGGCAGGAGACAGAACCTTCTTGGGGACTGATCCAAGACTTTGAAACTCACTTCCACAGAAACTAAGAATTACCACAAACTTCATCACTTTTCGTTCCAAGTGCAAAATGCAGTTCCTTTCCCTAGCATTCTAACATTAGAAGCTCATAGTAAATCACACACAAGCAAACAAAACTACACAAGCTAGTTTCTCCTCCAGGGAGAGGAATGGAGAAGGAACCCCTTGCTAGTCACATTGCCTAATGCATCAACGGAAGATGCTCAGATACCACAATGATGGGTGTGGTATAAGAACATGAAGAGAACAGAACAGTGCCTGAATATTACTGCAGATGTTGGAAATCAAACTAGTTAAAACCAATGCAAACCCCTAATGCAGACACATTTAAACCATTTTAATGCTTGCTTTAAATCAGTTTAGCTTCATTCAGTAATTTACTGACAACAGCTAAACAAATTTAAGAAAGAGTTAAACTGGTTTGAGTGTGGGGGGTTAATTAGGGTTATGCACCAATCTAACTAGATGGAATTAACAGTTGCACTAGTTTAACTAAATGGATTTTATATCCTGATAGGCAGCCTGAGAGACATGGCAGAATTGTGTGAGAGAAACTACATAATACAGACCTGATATTCAGCAGTGATAAGCACCCGCAACTGGAGTTGGAGTACCTGAAAGATGACAATGGGGCTATAGTCTCTCCCCCGCCCGTGTTATGCCTGGCTCCATTCACTTACTAGGGTATGGAGGCAAGGAAAGGATTTGGGTTTGTTGGTTGGTTGTTGTTTTTTTGCTTAATCTTCAGCTCGGTTTAATCTAATGTTTCCATACTGGGGGCGGGGGGGGGGAGACTATTTGTCATTTGTACTTCAACAAAACAAGGATGTTAAGGTCAAACCTCACTCCTGACACATTTCCTTTGAGGGAGGGCAATGGGCTCGGAGACATTCTTGGGAGCTGCAAGGAGAAATAGTTGAGCTTGGTTCCAGTTTGAGGGAACAGAGGGGTTCCAGCTTGGTCTGGGAGTGCCAAAAAAGAATCCAGCCCTCCCCCACTTCACAGAGGGAAGAGAAGATGCGAGGAGCGATTCCCCTGTGCGTCCTTCTGCACGCCAGCTCTGTGCTGTGCGGTGCTGAGCAGCCCCGGGGCAACCACACTTGGTGCGAAGGCTCTGGCGCCTGCTACAGTGTCCACCTCGCCCAAGTGCCCTTCGGCAGAGCCCAGAAGGCCTGCGCTGTGCGCGGGGGAGCGCTGAGCACGGCCAGCGGGGAGGCAGAGGTGCGGACCATCCTCGCCCTGCTGAGAGTGGTTGCAGCCGAGCCCGGCTCCTGGATGTTCTGGCTCGGGCTGGTCAGGAGAGCGCAGCAATGCACCCACATGGACTGGCCGCTGCGGGGCTTCTCCTGGCTGGCGGGCCCCCAGCAGGCGCCCCAGGGAGAGCCCAAGGAGCTGGACAAGTGGGTGAAAGAGCCGAGCAAGTCGTGCATCACCCTGCGGTGCGCGGGGCTGCAGGTCACTGCGGGGCGCCAGGACCTGGAGCCCTGGGGTTGGAAGGAGCTGACCTGCAAGGACACCACCACCCAAGGCTATGTGTGTAAGTACCAGTACAACGGCACCTGTCCCGCTCCGCGGCCCCAGGGCGCCCGCAGCCTCCTCTACTCGCTCCCTTACCAGCTGCACAGCGCCGCCCTGGACTTCAGCCCCCCGGGCACTGAGCTCGTGGTGGCCTGTCCCGGGCCCCGGGGAGACGTGCGGCTGCTCTGCGAGCTGGGGCAGGGCGGCTACAACTGGACGGGCGCTGGGGAGCAGCTGTGCCCTTGCCCCTCCGGGTACCAGAGCCCCAGCACTGGAGCCTGCATGGAGCCCAGAGACTGCACCAGCGCCCAGGGCGCTTTCCTCTGCGTGTGCGCCCGGGGCTTCCTCCTGGGGGCCGACAAGAAATCCTGTGAGCGCCCCGGGCACATCGGGGGCTCGGCCACAGCGGCACCCGACCCGACCCTGTCTGCGGGGGGGACTGTCCCCAGCAGCAGCTCGGGTGCGCCTTCCCCCCCCTACAGCTCTCAGCCAAGCACAGCTGGGGAGGTACAGTCCTCGTCCTCCCCCACGTATGTCTTCATCCTGGTCGCCATGGCTGTGGTGACGGTGGTGATCCTGGTCGGGGCTGTGCTGGTGGTCTTCAAACTCTGCTTCACTAAGAGCCCCTCCTCGGCTAGCGGGGCCGGCCAGGAGCCGGCTCCAGCAGCAGCCGCAGAGAGTGATCCAGAGGCCGACACCACAAGTTCCGAGAATTCCTTGGAGGCCCGGGGAGACACGGCAGAGAGATTGCAGGGCGAGCCCAGCCCAGAGAAGGAAGCTCCACTCGGGAATTAAGAACCTCTAGGGCACCATGGACCATGGAAGCTTAATTTGAAATGAACCAGCCGTGAGTTTCCTTTCGTGTGAGTGACCCCAGGCTGAGCTGGCAGCTCCCACCCATTTGGAGGGAGGCTTCTTCGTGTCAAGGCATCTCTCTGGAGAGGAAGGATTTGGCGATGTTTCAATGAAACCCTGAACATCGCATCGCCTGGTTTTGTTGTTTTTTTACACGTATTCATGTAAATTGCCACCGGGCTTGGCAGACGTGCCCATGACAATGCCCCGACAAAGGAAGGGTCTGGCTGGGATCTCTGCAACACAGGGCTTGATGTGGCCTTTAATGCATTTATGCTTTATGGCCAAAATGGTCAGACTTGGGTGCTGAAAGTTAGGCACTTAAGCGGCTTGTTTTTCAGGGGTTCCGAGCACCTGCAGCTTCTGGTAATTTCCCTGGGAATTTTTAATCACATTCTGAAAAGCAGGTCACTTATTTAGGTGCATACTTAAATAAAATATAGAGGATGGGGCCTGAGTTTCAGAAGGGCTGATCACCAGCACCTCCTGTTGACTTCAACTGGAGTTTGGGTTCTTAGCATCTCCGGGAAGCAACCAAGTTTGAAAATGTTGACCAAGGTGCCTTACAAGTTGTAAATTATCCCTTGATGTAGAATATTTGAGTGGTACTTGGGGGCTTTAATTTTATTTTTAATTGTTGTTTGAACATTTGGAGATATACACGTCCATAATTTTGGAGGAAACTCAGATCCAAACACTGTTTAGCCAGACTTTTTTTTTTTAATGTTCAGTTCATTGCTGTATTTGGAAAATCATTAAATTGCAGATGGGGAGATAGGCTAACGGGGAGTTAATTTTGTATCAGTCCATGGAAGAAAAATAAAGGATGTTTTAGAACCTAAATCACTGTTTAGATTGCTTCTTCATACAATATGCAGTTTTGTATTGTAGTTGAGCAACAAAATATTCTGCACAAACGATTGCACAACTCCCATCTTTCTATTAAAGTGTTTATATTTAAGGCAATTTGATGCAAAACTTCCTGAGCGCAAATAAGCCATCCCCATGATACCCAGAGTTGCACAACCAGAATGTTGCCAAATTTTTCAGGTTAGAACAGTGGGCATGAGTCCAAGTATAGCCCAAATTCTTCTCTCCGTCACATGAGTTTGATGTATTGATTTCAATGGGTTTCCCCTGCAAGTAAACAATGGAAGGTTTGCCCTCTGTGCATCCTTCCTAGGTGATGCAATCTCTTTGTTTGTGATTTCCTTTCAGCAGTCCCATAAATCAGTTATCGGTCTGGGCACACACCTTACTTTCTTTGCAATTCAAAATGCTGATACCCCCTTCCAGTTATGGCATTGTTGATTCTCAGTTAGGGTATTAACGGTAAGTATTGATTTGAAGTCTTCTGAATGCAATAAGAGAGGTAAACTGGATCACCACCAAACTTGTTCCACAGAAAACCTTTGCTTCATTTAAAAGAAGCAAGAGCTTGGAAATGTCTGTTTCTTAAACATTTCCTACATTTCCCCCCCTATCCAGACCTGGCCTTAATTCCCTCTTTTCCTTTACCCCCCTTTCCTAATTTTGAGGATTTGGCTTCAAAAACAAAGTAAATTCCTAGACCTTTTTCATTCAAAGATAGCTTTGAAAATGTACACCAATGTAAAGTGATGCTATGGCTAAAGTTTGCCACAGTGATTTTTCCTAAAGTTCATGAAATATTTAGAGTACCCTCTACCTCAACCTACACCTAGCTAGTTTTTGTGACCTGTGAAAAGGGTCCTTTGATTTTGGCAGGGGAATCGCAGCCCAATTCATATTTTTGTGGTGCAGTGCTGCACCAACCTTTGCTGATGGCACTAGTTCCACCATAAGCTCCTTCCAAGCTGGCTACTTGTTCTAATACAGCGGTTCTCAAACTGTGTCGGGACACCAAAGTGGGTCACAATCCCATTTTAATGGGGTCCAGGGCCACCCAGAGGATTCAGGGGGCCTGGGGCAAAGCAATTTCAGGGGCCCCTTCCATAAAAAAAAGTTGCAATACTATAGAATACTATATTCTCATGGGGGCCCCTGTGGGGCCCGGGGCCTGGAGCAAATTGCCCTATTTGCCCCCCCCTCCTCTGGGCAGCCCTGATGGGGTCACCAGGGCTGGCTTAGACTTCCTGGGGCCCAGGTCTGAAGTCTGAGCCCCACCATGTGGGGCTGAAGCCAAAGCCCGAGGGCTTCAACCCTGGGCAGCGCGGCTCAGGTTACAGGCCCCATGCTTGGGGCTGAAGCCCTTGGGCTTTGCCCCTCCCCTGCCTGGGGTGGTGGGGCTTGGGCTTCCCCCCCCCCTCCATGGGGCAATGGAGCTTGGGTGGGCTCAGGCTTCGGTCCCCCCTTCCTGGGGTTGTGTAGTAATTTTTGTTGTCAGAAGGGGGTCGCAGTGCAATGAAGTTTGAGAACTCCTGTTCTAATAGATGGTGTCATGGGGTGAACTCACTGCTGGAATGCCTCCTTCTGGCTGCTCTGGGTATTAGCTCCTTCCAGGTTCAGTGCCCCTTCTGTTGCTTGTTCACACACCATGCTGCCCCCCGACTCAGGCTGCTCTCTCTTCATGGCTTGGCCCTCCAACTAGGTCACTATGTCCCCCTTTTGGGGTATCACAGTCTCTCCCTACAGACTGTCTCAGGCAGGCTTCCCAATCACTGTCCTATCTGTGCCACTTCCCCAGTGGTTAGTAGGGGAACTCAGGCTCACCCTCTACTCCGGGTTCCAGCTCAGGGACTCTCCTCTAATCAATGGCCAAGGACTGTAACATCCCACCTTGCTGCTACTTCCCTGAGCCTTTTACTACTCTGCCTCTTTCTGGCTTCCACTCCACCACCCTTCTGGGTAAACTCTTCCTTTAAGGCCTGGATCCCCAGGGTTTCTACTCTCCCCCTGGGTTTTCTTCTTTCTCTTTCTAAAGCCCAGAACATGGCTGGAGGCTTCCATGCTGCAGCCCTTTTCTGCTGACAACTTTCTGGCTTTATATTAGCCCTGCCTGGTCCTTCTTCACTGAGCTCCATCATCAATCCAGGGTTACTTAGACCACCTTATTCCCCACAGGTGTAGCCTATCTGCTTAATTGGCCCCTTCTCAGCCTCATCAACCCTTCCTAGGTTAGCGTGGAGTTAATGCCCCATCACAAATGGGCCATTGGACTAGGAGTCAGGAGTAGAGATGGTTGGAAAACTCTCAGGCCAGCTGGTTCCCTGGGCGGCCTGACTCTTGAGGCAGCTGGCTCCATGGGCTGCAGGAGTCAGACAGTCTGGAAAACTGGCTTGGTCTGGTGTTTGGTAATCTTTAAAATCTTTTTTAAATGATGGCATCTATACATAGACTCCAGCAGTGAATTTTTCACCTCTCCTGGAACAGGAGAATGAGGTGGAGGACAAATGTCTCCTCATTGCATATAAATAAATACAGATACATTTGGAGGGCCTCAAAGAATCACCTCATGGGCCCTCCCCAGAATCAGAGGTGAACTAGTCTTTACAAAACAAGCTGGCTACTAATTTGAATATTTTCTAATATATTTGCAGTTATTCTTTGCAAAGATAAATGATTTTCATCTCAAATATAAGCCATCCAGGAGAGCTGATTCTGTATTCAGATGTGCATATATTTGAAAAGTGACTAATAGGTTATATATGGCTTTCAGTCCTTGCACAATTTAAGTCACTGGGAGCTTTGGGGAAACTCTTGCTTGCCTTACTTTCGCAAAGTTTTTAACACAAAATCCTCATCTCTTTCCCATTTCAGACACTGAATATCCAAAAAGGGCTATGAAACTGCTCAAACAGTTTTGTCTTTTCAAGACTAAATTATGGTAATTCTTTGTTTCCAGGAACCTTGCACACATATGGCTGTATTCTGAGAGCTGTTAGGCACCTGCAATTGCCTTTCACTTTAATTTGGAGTTGCAGGTATTCAGCACCTCTCAGGATTTGACTCAGAGGATGTAACTTATTCAAAATGCATGAAGTCTGGCATCACCCAGAGACGTGGCTGTATGGGCCACTGAATAATTTATAGATTTTGTGGTGGGTTGATTTGCCTAATAATGGGCATTGTAAGCCCAAACCTCAAGTTAGTTATGTGTTTACATAAGTTCCTGGTCAGTGGATGTGAATTCTCAAATTCCATTTACTTCACTGGGAGTACATGGACAGACGACAATGTGTGACCCCAAGAGCATAAATTATGAACTAAAGTGAAGTATCTTATTTTCTACATCCTGTTCATGGTACTTTATTTATGAAATTGCTAGAGTTGCAGGGAAGGAAAAGCCACACAAAGGTCTTGCATCTCCAGATCGAGGAACATAATGAGACAGGATATCTATTCAGCAAGTCACAATGGGCCAGGTTGCCTCCCTCACTGTGCAAAACCATAAGAGGAGGGACATGGAAATCTCTGCTGGGGTTTTTCATGGAGAGGGCCTCAAATTGTCCTGCTGGGACAGGGTTTGCCCTGGGGAAAAACAACACCAAAGTTGGCAGATCCTGGGGCATCTGGCTGTACCTACACAGCAGCTCTGGCTCCACAGGTCCCCACTCCTTGGCAATTGTGGCTTTACTGGAGCTGGACTACCACGGGGTCCAATGCCACAAAGCTCCAAGGGCCTGGGCCTGGATTAACTTTTCCAGCTAACTTCCATGGGTGGGAGGGGAAAGGGGGGCGGGCAATGAACACCTCTCCAGTTGCCCTTCCTCTCACTCCCCTACCCCTTGACATGACCCTGAACACACAGGGAGCCCTCCACAAGGTTATTGGTGCATCTTTTCTGTGCAGAGGAAGGGGAGATCTGCAGTCGGGGGATCCTCCCTTGTGCATGTCTATGGAGGTACAATCTGGCTTTATAGTTAGGTGAAGCTCATGGAGTTCATGGTTTCTTAAAGCTTTCAAAGTATTTTTGCTGTTTACAAAACTAGGTCATAAATCTTTTCTTCCCCCTACTTGTAATTTTCTCCTAAGGGAAACTTAATAAATAAAAAGTTGTCCTACCTAAAGGGAAGGTGTTTTATATATCAGAGATGAAAAAAACCTCCAAAAGCAAAGTTAGTATTTGTGGGTACCCTGGATATTGTATATGCTGTATTTATTTTTGCTTTACAGAAATTCTCTCTCTACTCCTTTTTTCACGTTCTCCCTCTTCGTATTTGTTTTTCACTCTGCGTACTTTCTGCTCTGTTTTTACCTTATTTTGTCAATGTATTTTTTCTTAAATAAAATGCAAACCCAATAACATTTGAATTTGGTTTGAACCCAAGATATTTGGATGAACTTGAAATTTGTACTTTGGTACAAAATAAATGTAGCCACCTGTGATGCATATCACAGAAATATGGGAGGAGGAGGAGATAAATTATTTGGTGGTTGAACATTTCTGGAATGTTTAAAACCCAGAGAACAGATATTTTGGGAGCAGGGGGAAATAGTCCTTGCTTTTCTCCAACTCCCTACATTTAGATCATTGTCTTCTCAGATGTACAACCAATAAGTGGCCGGTTTGCAACATATAGTTTAGCACATATAACTGCTAACACAGTAACCTTAATGCAATTCTCAGCATTAAGAAACATGCCTGATCCAGCATCAATTAAGTCAATTAAAGTTTTGCGATTCACTTCAATCGGAGCAGAATCAAGTCCATATGTTTGGATAAATTCATAAATATATATTAAAACTTCTGGGAGGGGCAAACTGTATAGTTTTTGTTTAACTATCAAGTAATACCACATGTGAGAGACCACAATGAAATGGAAACATATATCCAAAATGTGAGAGGGATGGAGAGCAGGGCCGGCTCCAGCTTATTTGCCTCCCCAAGTGGAGAAAAAAAAAAAAAGA